GACTCTTGATCTCGGGGTTGTGGGTTCGAGCCCCACGTTGGGTGTAGAGCTTACTTAAAAATAAAATCTTAAAAAAATACGTTTTTATGAGGCAGAGGGATATGCTTCTTGAGATCATGCCACTTCCACAAAAGTAACTTAGTATTCTCCAAATTACAATTGCTCAAGGGCTTAAAGTTTTATATCTCAGCTAAATCTTGCCCTTCTAATACCAGGTGAGATAATCATTAACACCCTGCCCTCAGGACAAGGAACGATTTTGCTGTGGTCTAAGGAACCACCTTCCACCATAGTCTGCCCCCTTGGGAAAGTGACCTAAGAAAGGCTGGTCAACATTCTTCACCCCTGCGCCCCAGTTTGGTTAGGGATAGGGATCTGGACCAAGCAGGACCAATATGAAGACTCCCCTACACTGTTGCTGGAACTCTCAGGAAAAAGATTTTCTTGTCCCCCAGGAGTGCCAGGGGTCAGAACCACGTACCCGGAGCTACTTCTGGCTATTTCTGACACCATGTGGGGAGAACCTGCCTGAATGGGGCCAACACAGAGAGAGAGAGAAGGTCATCAGCTCGTCCCAGTTTGCCAGGACTTTTCTGATGATAGCACTGAGAGTCCCGTACCTAGGACCTCCCTTTAGCTCTGGGCAAGCAGAAACAGTTTTTCACCTCCTAGAGAGACCGCCTGGCAAGAAAGAGTCCTGAATATATTGTTTCCACTCTCGATCCAGCTTTATTTGGAGCCTTTTGAGCATCTCATTTCTGTGACCCAGTGGGTTCTGGTGTCTATTTCAGGAACTTTGAGTTGTGTTTCTGCCATTTGCCACTTAAGGAGTCAGAGCACACTCCCAAAGAATGTGCACATATAAATAAAACTCGAAGTTAAAGAAGCAAAATAAATCGAAGTAGGAAACATGCTATTTTTAGATTTGAAAAATGCGGAAATGGGATCATGCAGTCACTTCTGAGGTTGAGATAATTTATTTGAAGTAGGGCTCCGAAAAAAGAAAATGTATACAAAATGGAAAAAGGAAGCGAGGCAAATGAAAACATTCTTATGGAAGAAAAACCTCATGGCATGAGAAAGGTCAGAGTAATGCATGAGCAACAATTCAAAAGAACAAACTTACATAGTGAGGGGGGTTAAAAAAAAATAGCTGGGAAAAAAAGTAACAGCTTTGCTTTTCCATTGAAGATGGACAATTTGGTCAGGAATCTACCTGCAAAAAACAAGCCCAACAGCTGTTTCTGCAGATACTGATCAATTTCACAAGATTTAAAGCAAAAATCTAAATGGCCTCTGGCTCTCCACCATGGGGCAGGAAGGCCAAAGACAGTGCTATAGGAATAACCAGAAAAGCTCGAGAACATGGTCTTTGGACTATGGCTAGGAGAACCTGGTGCTCTGTAGTGTCAGTCAGAGAAGTGTTGAAATCTGAGCTCCTGGAGGGTTTCCTCTGGGAATATGGCCAGAAGGGAGAGGTCTAGATAGTCTATCTCTGCAGGAGCCACACAGAATGGAATGACAGCCCCCTCTGTCTGGCCTCCCCTGATGAAGGATGAGAGACTGGGGCCTTTTTCCCCAAGGGACTCTTTCTGGCCTGTTTCGATACCATTTCTAATTCCAGTGCAGAATGGAAAAAGTCGAAGCGTTGAAAACCAAGAGAGAAATCATTTTCTCAATAGAAAGATAACATGGGGGAAAAAAAAAAGCCAGTGAAGCTATGTGATTCCGGGCTACCTCTGTGAATATACTTTCCACTGAGTCTCACCAACTTTAAACTATTTTCACTTGGTTTTCTGATGTCATCTCATTAGAGGGAACTAGCCATTTTCGTGGTCCTGTTACTTTGGTGGGTGATTTGGGGAAACTGAGGTGCCCTGGCACGGTCTTTCTAACACAACCACTTTAATCGAGGATGGCAGGGGGAAGAGAGGAAGGAAACTTTTTTTTTTTTTTTTTTATTCTTATGTTAATCCCCATACATTACATCATTAGTTCTAGATGAAGTGTTCCATGATTCATTGTTCGTGCACAACACCCAGTGCTCCATGCAGAACGTGCCCTCCTCAATACCCACCACCAGGCCAACCCATCCTCCCACCCCCCTCCCCTCTAGAACCCTCAGTTTGTTTTTCAGAGTCCATCTTCTCTCATGGTTCGTCCACCCCTCCGATTTCCCCCGCTTCATTCGAGAGGAAGGAACTTTTGAGGGAGGAAAGGAACAACACTATCTGTACTTGCACATTTTGCAAAAAAGATGTCAACACTGTACTTGCTGAAGGGCTTTTCCTCTTTTCACATGACATTGAAAATAGAAGAGCTGGTATCATTCGAAGTTGTCTGGTAGCAGAGAACGAGATTCACACACTAAATCTTAAGTCACAAGAAATACTCAAGCTTAAAACCCGGGAGCTCCTTGAGTGTGTGATTGGATTTTACATTGCCTTTGAAGATGAAGACACCCAACATGGGCTAGAGCGTTTGATGATTTGGTTTTTTTAAAAATAACTTGCAATTCAGGAAGACCCCACCTACAAGCAGGATATCCTTCTGCTTTCTCCCTGAACCAGGATGCCATCCAGCGTCTAAGAAAGGAGTCAAAGCCACAGGAGATGTCATGCTGTCCTGAAAAGCATCCCTTGCAGAATCAGACCTGAGGGATCACTGATTCTGGGCTGTGCTTGCCTTCCTCCCTGGGGGATGCTCATGGTGGAGCTCTCACCTCTGAAGGAAATGGAATGCATTCGCCAAGGCTAATGGGCAACTGAGAATCCTGACTCACCAACATTTATTTCTACCTTCCTACAAATTCCTGATAGCTGCATGCCAGGTGTTTCTATGGTGCTGGGCAATGTGTCTTCTGCAAGGAAAGGCACAGGTAGAGACAAAGGGGGTCTTCTTACCTGGGCCCTCATTTGGTAGTTGGCGAGATTTGAGGTTCCAAGAGGTTATGTGATTTACATGGAGTGACAGGGTCACTCCGAGAGGGCAGAAGCCAGCAAGCATACCACACCACAAACCTATAGCAAAAATGGTCTCCTCTCCTGGGCTTATCTACATAACCATCTTGGTCTCCCACCTTGTCTATTTGACTACGGCTGGAAAGGAGAATGAGACTAAGGGGAAGAAAAAGAAAAAGGAGGGAGGTGAAAGATTGTTTTTTCCCTTGGTTTTCTTCTGTTGATTTGACATTGAGAAGATTGATCGTCCACCTGTCACAGTAACCACAGACTTTTAACACCAGCCCCAATCCACATTTTTCTTCTTTTAAAAAGTGATTCAGGCTTTTGTTAAGTTAACGAAATGCCCTCACCTCAAGCCATATGTAAGGAACCACATACATAGTACTGACTTTTTATAAATCAAAAGGGAATAGTGAGAATAGAAAGGGACTACATATTTAAATATGAAAATCAGCCTTGACGTACCTAACGCTCCCAAATCATATGCCAATGATGGAACAGCAGACAAGAGGTGAAAAGATGGGGGCCAGACAGAGAGGGGAGGTCAGGAGAGCCAAAGCTCACAGTACAAGAGCAAACCCTATTCACCAGGCCAGTCGCCCTGGGATTCACAGACCAAACACGGTATTTTCCAGAGAATGTTGGCATGTTTATCGCCCAGCAGGCTCTGCCCTGCAGCCTGAGAGCACCGACCAGTGTTTCCAAGTTGGCAGCCCCCCAAAACCAGAACAATGATTGCTTTTCTCTTGCTATAATAATGCTGTTGAGTTCATCAGAGATCCATTTTGTATTTTTCATGGAGTCCAAAGCATGTGATTTCCTTCAGAAGAAATCCTATCAAGGTTTATGTAGTTTTAAAAATAACTGATCTGGTCCATTGGTAAAGATAGAAATGTTTTGTTGAGAGAAGAAGGAGCTGCTCCTAGAATCTCATTATTGATCTGAAGTAAAATGTTTAAAAAAAAAGCCAACTCTACACATGTGATATAGTGTATTCATGAGTCCAAATATTTCTCAACTCACTGGGTCTTAGGGAGGCAACTATGGTGTAAAGCCTTATGCTTGGTCATTTATTCATTCATTTCATTACTCAATCATTTATCGAATTTATCGACCATTTACTATGTGTTCTAAGCATTGAGGATGCAGCTGTTAACAAGATAGAAAATGACCCCAACATCATGGCACTAATAATATAGAGAAGGCCAAGAACAAACCCGTGCAAATAAGTAAATATGATTATTCCAAATTAAAAAAAATGATTATTCCAAATTCCTTTGAAAGAAAAACAGGGTGGGCTGGTCAGCTCAGCCTCTGTGAGCTGTAACATCCGGCTGACGAGGAGCCTGTGCAGGTCTGGGGGTAGGAAGGAGAATGGCTGAGGCAAAGACCCCGAGGTAAGAGCGAGTCTGACAAATTTGGGGGAAAGCAAGAACACCACCGGGGACCAAAAAAGTAATGCCTATTGTGGTAAAGATTTAATAAGATGAACGCAAAAGAACACGATCGGTTTTAAAGCAATACCACTCAAAGGTGTTACTTGGCCATGCTAGACCATGATTCTGCATCTGGAAAGGATTAGAGGGAGAACCATGGATTTCACTTTTCATCTTCTACATCCACTAAAAAGGAGCAGGCTCTGGAGAAGCCTTTCCAAGTACAGCACGTTGACGTCATGTGAAACACGGAACCACACATACCTGGAATCCTATTGAGCGTCACCCAGAAATGTTCATCAGGGCTGAAAGTGTCTTTGGACCAGTGGAGCAAGTCAACAGCCCGTGGGTCGTGGAGGACAAAGTCGGTGAACTCTCTGGATAGAGCAACATAGGCAGAGCCAAAGTAAATGGTGAGGTTATGGGGAGGAGGTTGTTTCAGCGCTGTGGTTCTGATCACATAGGAAAGCTCTTTGCCCAGGTGCTCCCGGTGGACGTATTTAGTCCGTCCAATAGCGTGAGCTGGGGGCAGCACTCCCGGGGTAATGTTTTTCCCTTTAAAGCCTTTGAGATACCGAACTATCTCCTTGTTGGTTTTCAGGGGGAAGTCTTGCCCGCACGTGTTGATGGCGTACTTCCACGGCACCTTGGACGCCGCGAGGTCTTTGATGCAGTTCAGGTCAGCCTGGAGCCTGGAGATCCCCCCATAGACAACTGGCTCCATCTTGGAAGCCAGGAAAGCATTTGGGAAGCAGCTCAGTAATTGCTCCACTGAATCTTTAAATTCAACGGTCGCCTTTTCATCCACATGAACACAGTAGACATTCTGAGGCATGTAAATAGCTCTAAAGAGCCTTGCAAAGGTATCGAAATTGTGATGGATGGCCATCATATATGCCAAAGGAAATTCAGCTTCTTCTTTAGATAAAGGGGCCGTGATGTAGTGGCTTTGGGTCAGGTAATCCTTGCAAGAAGACTTCTCGTACATTATCAGTTTGTTTCTCCACAGGAAAGGCGTTTTGCCTCTGACAAAGGATGCGCAAACTTGAGTCAGCATCAAAGTGTCTGAGTTATTCAGCCTCTGGAAGCTTTGCTCTCCCCCAAAACTGAGCACGTAGAACACAATAAAAATGATTACGCAAGAAACAGAAACTATAAAGAGGTAACGCATCGAAGGCATGCCTCACAGAGGAGCAAGATTTCAAAGACGGGCAAAATCTGGAAGTCCTTCCCCAAACTTACTTTTTCCTTTGAGTTCTTAGTTTGGTACATACTCCAGTAATTCCTAACCTGAAGGAGACGCTGGGAATTGATTCCGTTTCATGCCGGGAGTCCAGCTGCTGGCTCCGTCCGTCCCCCGTGCTGATGTTAGCCACTGGTCCCGCCTCGTTCTCTGCTTCTCAGAGGCCCTTTGTCCAAAGCCCAGCGGCAGGTTCCCGAAGCCCGGCCTTTTCCCTCCCTCTGCCTCCCTGCCCGCATCTGCTCGCTGTGGCCCCCGATCTCTCCGGCAACTCCTTTCTGCTGCAGGATGAGCTTCTCAGATGTCTTTGAGTTCCCCCGCGTGTTTCCCCCTCCCCCCATTCAGGGGATTAGCGCCGTGAAAGCCAAAGTTGAAATAATGTGTTCTGGCAGGCGTGCTGTTTCCTGCTAGTCACCCGCAGGCGGCGGCGCGCCCCCCCTCTGGGCTGCTCATGGCAACACCTGGCCCCTCGGCCCTTCCAGTCCGATCCACGGGATGTAATGTGGCCTCCGTGCGCAAATGCTTTCATGAAAATCATGCTCTAATGACAAAAGTGACTGAAGAGACAAGATCTAAAAGAAAAAAACAACAGCATACATCCCGGCTCCTTTGTCATGGTGTCGAGCCCTGCCCTACCCTTTACAAAAACAAGGGATTACGGGACTCCCAGTCCTAGGGGACCTGAAAACGCAGGCTCCCTGGGGCCGTGACTTTGAGATCAGGTGCCAGCCCCTCTCCCCCCTTACGGCATCCAACATCCACGGTGGTGCTTGTCACATGAGCAAGTCCCAAGCTACAACCCCTGATTTACTTAAGGCTTTAAAGTTTCCCTGGAAAGAACTTGAATCCTGGCCACAAGTGATGTTCAGATTAGGGGACCTGGGGGGCACTCAGCTCTTAAACACCCAGAGAACATCATCTAATACTCAGAGAAGTACTTTATACCTGCCCAGTCAGGCTTATTGACCACCTAGGAAAAGCACACTGTTTCCCCCCACCTGTAAAGGGTAGTGTTTTGGCTAAAGAGTATCAAGCTCTTTGGGGCGCCTGGATGGAAAACCAATGTGAGCCCCCACCATTCAAGGCACCGTGCTCCAAGTGATAGACTTCCTGAGCACACTGTATTGTTGGTTTGTTTTTAAGTAAACTCTATACCCAACACGGGGCTCGAACTCACAACCCCCCGAGATCAAGAGTCACCCGCTCCACTGACAGAGCCAGCCAGGTGCCCCTCTGTATCTTTTCTTTCTGCTGGTTTCCATTGTTCCTATTTTTTGTTCTTCCAACTCGTACCTTATTTTCCTCTCCCCTTCACTAAATCCTCCTCATTCTTTAAGACTTGTCACAAATAAACTCCATGTAGAACCCACCTTCAGGTTTTTATGCAAAGTAGAAAAAAGAAAATGTAGCCATTATGTGGGTAAAACAGATAAATCTAATTCTTAGTGTCTTCCACGGAATAAAGCAAAGAAAATGACAGCAAAGTGCATGGTAATGGAAAAGTCAATCCCAAGCTTCTCTTTTTCCAAATTATACCTTTAAGTATTAGGTTATTGTGTATTTTATTTCAAAACAACAGACAGTCATTTGAGTATCTAGTTTGGCAAAGCCTTTTGGCTTAGAATGAATGTTAATATATTTGCAGCCTGACAAAGTGTTCAGGGTGCAGATGCATGACTTAATTAGGCCAACAGAGGCTGTTTACTTTATTGTTTCCAACTGGCCATTAACACAGGGGTTCGGATCTACACAGGCTTGGGAACAGACATTATAATGCCATTATATTAAGAAATACACACCAGCCGAATTAGGGGCTATCCTAATGTTTCTGTATTCAATCTGTTACTTCCAATGGCATTGTTTGTCTGTTGAAAATATAGCTGTTTTCCCTCTCTGCCCTTTTGGTTGTCCTTGGGCCAACTTTCCTCACCCCTAGGTTCTGGTATTTAAAAACAAAATAACAAAAAAAAACAAAACCCACAGGAGAACTTTTTAAGAAACCGCATGTGGAAACAGAGAAAGGCTGTAATTGTTACCTTTCCTTCTCAATAGGCCATAAGAGTTGCTTACCCAGAACAGACACCATGTGTTTTTTTGCTACTGAGACTGACCAGCTTAGCCTTCCCTCCCTCTCCACCTTTGACCGCAGGCAAGGACCAGGCGGGCACCTGTAGGCCTAGCAACTGAGCCTTGTCGCTCACTTTGGAAGCAGTTATTCCCCAGCTAGCCAATTAATCAGGCAAGCCGTGTTTACCCTCCCCTGGGGCCACCATCAGCAGTTGCTCTTTATTCCATCCAGTTTTTATGTTTTGTGCATCTGTAGATAATTCTTCCAGCTCTGGAGCTATCTTAGAACACAGCCCCCAAATGAAGAGAGTATCCTTTCTTGGAAATGACAGAAGACTCAGAATCTCTGTGAAATAAAGAAATCGTCAAGGGAACGGAAGAAGATCCTCTGACACCTCAGCACCCTTAGGCTTTCTGTGTGAAAGAGGACAGCATTGAAGGGGGCGGCACCACACGAATCATGGCTCACAAGACTGTCGTAAAGGACCTCGCATAAGAAACTGGGCTTCCATCTTGCTGCAAAGGAGCACCATCCAGGACACTTTTGGGTGGAGGAGCGCTCCCAGGCCACCTGTGCCAGATGAGGGAGGACCAAGAGCAAAACAAATCGCGGTGAGGAAGTATTCATCAGCCCATACATGCATACTTCACCCACTGATAATAATAACAAATAATAAATAAATCCATTATTTATGTATTCATTAATGATGTTTCCTAGAAACAACCCTGAGGCTTTAGTCATGTAAATACAGAACATCAGATGCTGCAGCTTTGGGTTTTTTTCTTAAATAAAAAAATACAGATAGAGGAAGGATTTAAAGTCCCAGGGTCACTAAGGAATTCATGGGCTGGGAATTAGTGGGAAGTCTAGACTTACTTTTCCATTCGCTCAACCTTGTGATGTAGAAATATGTATGTTACCATATTTATACTATTTATTTACCTGTTTGTATGTGTTCAATGAATGAATGAATGAATGAATGAATGAAGGGAGTCCACATCCCCCACAGTTCCAGGTAGCCATAGGTAAATGCACTCTTAACTGGAATTGGGAACAGAGGAACTGGTATCTTTTATTTTGACAAACAAAAGCTCTGACCAGATTGACTTTATTTTCTTTCTTGTTTTTTTTTTCAATTAATTAACATCTAATGTATTATTGGTTTCAGAGGTACAGGCCTTTGATTTATCAGTCTTATATAACACCCACTGCTCACTACATCATGTGCCCTCCTTAATGTCCATCACCTAGATACCCTATCCCTCCACCACTTTCCCCTCCAGCAACCCTCAGTTTGTTTCCTCTGATTAAGAGTCTGACCAGATTGATTCATCAGGTAGATTAAATGACATTAAAAAACCCACAACTTTCAGTCAAGTTTCTGCGGGAAACCATGCAAGATATGTTTTCACTTATGTGTCAAGAAGGGTTGTCCAGGGGTGCCTGGATGACTCAGTTGGTTGCAGGTCATGAACCCGGGGTCCTGGGATCCAGCCCCCTGTCTGGCTCCCTGCTCAGCCGGGAGTCTGCTTCTCCCTCTCCCTCTGGCCCTCCCCTCTGCTCATGCTCTTACTCGCTCTCTCTTTCTCTCTCTGTCAAATGAATAAATAAAAAATCTTTAAAAAAACAAACAAACAAGGGTTGACTATTAACCCTCACAATATTACTAACAGGGCAATATTATTAACATGGTGCAAAAATCAGGACACTGGATCCTAGTCCCTTTTCTTTCTTTTTTTTTGCTTTAAATTTTTTATTGTTATGTTAATCCCCATACATTACATCATTAGTTTTAGATGTAGTGTTCCATGATTCATTGTTTGTGCATAACACCCAGTGCTCCATGATGAACGTGCCCTCCTCAATACCCATCACCAGGCTAACCCATCCTCCCACCCCCCTCCCCTCTAGAACCCTCAGTTTGTTTCTCAGAGTCCATCGTCTCTCATGGTTCGTCTCCCCCTCCGATTTCCCCCCCTTCATTCTTCCCTTCCTGCTATCTTCTTCTTTTTTTTTTTCTTAACATATATTGCATTATTTGTTTCAGAGGTACAGATCTGAGATTCAACAGTCTTGCACAATTCACAGCGCTTACCAGAGCACATACCCTCCCCAGTGTCTATCACCCAGTCACCCCATCCCTCCCACCCCACCCCCCACTCCAGCAACCCTCAGTTTGTTTCCTGAGATTAAGAATTCCTCATATCAGTGAGATCATATGATACATGTCTTTCTCTGTTTGACTTATTTCGCTCAGCATAATACCCTCCAGTTCCATCCACATTGTTGCAAATGGCAAGATCTCATTCCTTTTGATGGCTGCATAATATTCCATTGTATATATATATACCACATCTTCTTTATCCATTCATCTGTCGATGGACACCTTGGCTCTTTCCATAGTTTGGCTATTGTGGACATTGCTGCTATCCTAGTCCCTTTTCTAACTTTAAATGAGTATGTGGTCTTAGGTCCCTATTTGCTTCATCTTTAAAAAGGATGTTCTCTATAGTCCCTTTTAGCTAAAATGAGCTATAATTCAGTATTTGTATGGTGAATCCACTAAGCAGCAGTGACAGAATGCAGGATGTGTGAGGAATGGCCCCTGTCCTGTAGGAAATTCCATCTTCACTAGGATTCAAAATACAGACAGCTGAAAATACATGACCAGCAAAACACAGAAGACTGTGGATCGGTTCCAAACAAGAGGACATCCAGTAAATGTGATGGAAGCTCAGAGGGGAAAAAAGCTCCCTTGGAACTCGGACAGTGAGAAAGGGCTTCCAGTGGGTAGATTCTGACCCTCAGAACATGGAGAAGGCATTCCAACTGGAGAGATTACAAGATCGAGCAAGAACAGAAGAACAAGAAAGCCCAATGTGGAGAAATTTCCTGGGGCAGAGTTGTGAATCTGGAACTTCTCTGGCTTAGCAGCAGATAAAAACCTTCCTATCAGCTAACCCTGACCTCAGAGTACCAGTCACGGTTAGAGGATGAGCTCAGGAGAGTGGGGACATTTTCTCCCTGTTCCTATCATGGTCCAGCAACTCAAACAGCCTTCCCTCATGTTCTGGAAGGTGAGCCATTTGGCACACACTGTGTTCAATGCTTGTTGAACAGGTCCAGAATCATCTGGGCATTTGAAAAGTACAGTCTTCACCAATGGAAAAAGACTGTTGAAACCTATATTTGCCCATTGTTCTAATTTGTAAATTAGAACAGCATAGGCTAGGAAAGCCCTCCATGATTTGTGATTTTACTCTTTCAGTATTCCTTTTTTCCCTCGTCTGTTTTGAGCATACACCTGCAGAGACCTATGAATGTACCACATTGGCCCTGAACTCTTTTGCACTTCCTCACATACCTTTTCTTTGTTTAATTGCATGTACTTATGCAAACTTCATTATGGTTTCATAATTGTTCTGGGACTGGTTTTTCCATTCTCAATTAACTGCTGTCCTTTAGTTGGGAAAGAAATGGAGGGGACACAGGTTTGAGCAGGCATACAACATTTAAAATGTTAAATAACAGCAGAAAGGGTCCCTCAAGGACAGGGTCTGATGAAGTTTATCGAAGTAACATTGAGAGCTTAAGTCCCGTGGCAGAAAAGTTTGGGTGAATGAGGTGAGATGTTATCATTTCTTGGGCTCACTGATGGGTGTCCTTTGGAAGGTCATTTTTGTGTGGTTTCCTTTGTTATTGAAGCAGGTCAAATGACTCAGGGATTTATTTTTAATTGAGCTAAGGGTAATTCACAGGAAAGTAAAGAATGGTGACAATCCAATTCACTTTGGACAGCCAACTACATAATTCTGTCCTGGTGACCAGATAGTTTGTAAATGGAGGTTTTTGGTTTTCTTTTTCATGATGATGATCACGATGTTAAAGAGAAGAAAGAAGACATTTCCAAAACACATCTTCAACTAAAACAACAACTCCCATAACTGAGGAGTCCTCTGATGGGGTTCTCTGGGGAAAATCCACCTTCTCCTGAGACCCAATCATTTTGCTTTCTATACCATTCATCTAATTAGCAACAGAAGAATTTGTTGTCTAGATCCATGGAACCCAAGGCATTATTTCAAACTCCCATCTCAGAGGAGGGAAGAAGTTTAATATGCA